TGAAATAAAACTCTAAACGAAAGACATAATTTACTTCAACTGTTCTACATGTAAATAGACTGATCTTTCTGGCATATTTGACTAAATGGATAAGCTTCTTACTAATGCAAGTTGATGCTTTTTGTACAATTAACTTACCAAAAATGCTGACACAACACCAGTGATTATACACAGCAAAGTCACAAGACCCCATACATGCCCTTTAGATATCTTGTAAGCCTTGAATAATAGCAAAGAATTAATATTAAAAAAATCATGCTCTATTTGTTATCTGTATCATTTTTATTAGATTATATTTACTCACTTATTGTAATTTTATTAATACATTTTGTAAACCTAACCAACACAGGAAAAATAAAAAGGCTTATAACTATAATAATAGACCTTTCTGCAGTTAAACCCAAAAAAAATAAGGCAAAAAAAAAATAAGGCAACATGCTTGCTGTAGCCCTCAAATGAATAAGAATGCAAAGTTATGTCAAAATCAGAATGACAGTGTACCAAATTAAATTATTTTCATTATTTGCCAAAAAGATAAGCAAGATATGTTTGCTGCAGCCCTCACACAAATTGATAAGAATGAAAAGTCATGTCAAAATCATGGCTCTTCTACCAGAATTATTTTCATTATTTGCCAAAAAGATAAGCAAGATATGTTTGCTGCAGCCCTCACACAAATTGATAAGAATGAAAAGTCATGTCAAAATCATGGCTCTTCTACCAGAATTATTTTCATTATTTGCCAATTACAAAAGATACACGTAAGCAAGCTAAAAAGCTTTGGTGCAAAATAACAGGTCCCTAACACAACTTTCTTTAGCTAAAAGGATTTATATTATAATTGTAATTATTTATAATTAATAAATACCTTTAGAGCTATGTAATCAAAAAAGCCAGTCTGAGCAAATATTGCAACAAGAATCATCTGAAAAATAATAATTTAATTTTAACAATCAAGAACAAGACAGTAWAACGATGGTAACAAATAAGTCATTAGATTTATTAGTAAAAGACTGAGTCTGTATGATAATGATATCAAGTTTGAGGCCAGCCCTTGTGATCTGCTGTGAGCCAGTTGTACAAGGCTGGAGTTATCCACTCCTTGAATTTGTGTGATTTGTTTTGATTGGACAACCCACAAGTGACCCAAGCATCTCATCCATTCAAGCCTAAAACTATTTTAAACAATACAGTATTTAATAGCGAACATTATGCTGTTGCCTGCATAAACTGTCCATGTTCTGAAAAACAAAAAGTTGTCCAAGACCGAAAGTACTAGCACAATGGCTGAGAAGTGGCTGGAAATTTGCAGGTAATGATAGTGATGACAGCATAATCCCCTCGGCATGATCTTTCCTACACACAAAACATAATGATCATGATAATAAAATGCATTATTATATAAAACATACCATTCCAAACAACAAGCTTAAAGTTTCCCATTCAATCCACATTATTACAGTCTCAAGTGTCGGTCTCTGTTAATATAATTGAATTCAAAGTTTTTTTAAGGAAAGCATCCAAGGGCATACAAAAAGTCACCTAAAAAGAGGAAGACACTGGGGGTTATCATGATACAAGATCATATCAAAAAGGTATATTTTACCCTATCTAGGTAAGATAGTACAGACAGTGCTGCCAGTGCTCCAAACATTGCTGCAGTAGCTCTGTGTACAAGCTGCAAGATGACAAAAGCAGTAGAATCAAATTAAATGGATAATAGATAATTCCTACTGGAAGTAGAAATGAATCAGCCTCTTCAAAGCAGCTGTACTGTTCATAATCAGCAATGAGGCACAAAGTATTGAATTTTCTTTTTGTTACAGACAATTCCAGGTAAAAATTCTTATAATAGGGCATTTCAGTTATAACATTTCTTGTACATGTATGAATCAGTACTATTACTAACATAACAACACAACACAACATAACAAGACAACCCCTGCTGTATGTGAATTATCCAACAGGTTGTTATAGCTATAAGTGCAACACAAGTCAACATGTTACTTAGAAAAGGGCACATTGTAACASAACTATAATTATAAATAATTACACTGAAAACTTACAGTAAGTTGTATATGTTTGAGATTTTATTATCGGATGTTGAGAAAGAAGCATCTTTATATCATACACTGACTTACATACCTCAAATATGATCAAAATGTACACGGAAACCAGGATGATGAATGCTAATACAACCTACAGGCAGATGATTTTGTAGTTAAATGACGAGTAAACACAAAAAAAAACAAGGAATGAGCACTATTAAATAAAATTGGAATAAGCATGTCATATTTCATGTTTATACACTAGGTAGGACGGTTACGTTACATGTAAGAGACAAAAAATATAATATTTTAAAATGCACCTGTGTATTTTCTGATACAGTCTCTGATGAATAAGTAACTGCTAGAGCCAAGGAGTAGTTTTCTTCCCCAGAAAAAAGCTTCAATTTGATGGACATATCAGATGATGCATTTCTAATAAGAAATATTGATAATCAGACAAACAAATGTTGCAATTACGAACTAAAAAATGATATCCACTCAAAATCTTCCTTTGACTGAGCAAATCCATGCATGTTTTGAAGTAATTAAAAGATGTTTTGACTGGTCATAATTGATCAGCTTTTTCATAATGCTTCATTTTCAAAGGAAACACAACATTACACTGAGAAAGAGTAGAAGAAAACTAAATTTGATGACAGCACTTGTGTACTTACTTTGTTTGGGGTACAAAACTCATAGTTTTAGAAATAAGGCTTTCATTGTAATCACTTTCACCATGTGAAGAGTGAAYGTTGACAGCCAATTTGTTGCTCTATAAATTTTAAATACATGTAAGTTTGTAAAACACATTTTGTATTTAATCCTTAGTTAAAAAAATATGCTGTTATGTCATGTTATGTCATGTTATGTTGGCCTTTTGTATTTGTCCATGCTAAAAGAATGCATTGACAATGCTGGAAAAATGTCACAAATGTTTTATGCTCCCCATCTCCACTCCCTCTATTCCCCTTCCCTCCYCTCCCCTCTCCTTCCCTTCCCTCCTTTTCCTCACCCATGTGAATACATCTATTTAAATATTAGATTTCCCTTCAAGCTTTGAATCTATATATATTTCACCTTGTTTGTGAGTCCAATCCATAAAAAATTTGATGAATTATCATAATCTATTAAAAAAAAACATAATTTACCTGCTTTCACACTACAGAATAATTGTGTACCATATTTACGTTTACTTAATATATTTCATGAGTATAAATTGTGCAAAAATATTAGTAATGCCCAATTGAGACATTCATTGGCCTAATACCCATCTAGCCACTGTTGTTGGACAATGTTGGACAATTGAAAAATAATATTATTCCTTTGATATTGAGCTTGAAAAATTAGATACCAGTTGCTGGGTGTTTTTTATACTTTCATCAGAAAAAGCTAATGAATTCAGAAAACATATAATATATGTGAAGAAGGGATAAGTATATTCAGTCAACTGTCTCATGGGTCATTTTAAATTGTCTTTATCTGAAAGAAAATATGGCAGTGAATTGGGATATACCTGGCTTTGTATAATTATTGAATTTACCTTCATCTAAAAAGGGTCCTTTAATAGTAATTCGTACAATTTTTGATTCAGCAGGGATGACAAACTCTATAGATTGGATTATAATAAATAAAAGTTTATATGAGTTATCAAATAAATGCTAAAAATAATAACAAATGACATATAAATGTTTCAAAAATATTAATTCATGGAAGTAACTAAGAATGAATGATAAAATAATTGTTCATTAAATTGCTAGAAATTAACATGGATTCATGAGACAATGAATATTATTTTCAACATGTTGGGTTTTCTGTGCCCTTCCTGAAGGGAAGGAACAAAAAAAGGAAATGCTCTAGATATGAGGTCATAAATGTACTGTTTTCACATAATTACTGTAACTAACAGTTCATATCAGTTTTAACTGATTTAAAAAGTTGGTAGTTTACCCAACTTTAAATAAAATACAGTMAAATAAACCTCCCTTTTTACCATGGTTACAAGATGTGTGATGCCACATACCATTATTCACAGGTCAATATGAATTCTGGTGGACTTTGTTTGGTTACCCAAGTTTGATTTACAAAAAGTCAAATCATAAATTCTTTATAACTTCAAGTGACATGTAACAAGCGTTATCACATGACCCTTATTTCTGCCCTAAGTGCGCTTTGGGAAATGGTCACGTGATGGGGACTGTACGCCTTTTCGCGACAGGGCCATACAAACCCGTATCTTCCTGGTTTGAAATTCTGCTCACTTTTATTTTTATTTTTTACATTAAAAACGCTGTCATAAGATAAAATGCTTATTGACTGACTCAGTCATTTGTACGAACCTCGCTGCGCTCGTTCCATATGGCATAACCTTGAGCCAAATATTTTCCCGTACGGCCCTCCCACTCAGTCAATAAGTACATATTCTCAAACCCATATCAATGCTTTCAGTTTCCCAATGAAAATCGAAAGCTCTGGCTAGAAACAATCTGAAAGACCTAGAATATAGTCGATATATTTACGCATACTGATGGCGCATGGGAATTTTATGAACCAATCAAATCAAAGCCTTATTTGTCACCAAACAGAGTCTTCAATTTTTGGGAAACTGAGAAGGATCTGCAAGAAAACAGTTAAACATGGAAACGGAAGCCCAAAACTCAACATAATACATACAATTCATCTATATTCAAAAGAATTGAAACAGAGAGTTGTTAATTATACCTTGCTCTAAGTCGGAAGAAACACAAACCAGTTTTTCGGCATGCTGGTTTTCTTGACTTCTTACAAAAAAAGCCTGGAAAATGAAAATGAATAGCTGTTAACAAGCAATGGATAGAGCATAATGAACACATCAATAGGAAAAAAATTTAGTAAATCCTAAAGAGATGATAAAGGAATTCCAACTCAACCAAACACCCTTGATGCCCTTGACTATGCTGATCATGTGATTCTGTCTGAATAGTCTTCTCCATGGTTCCCTGTACCATCTTGAAAGGTAGCCATGCCTTAATTTGCATCGAAGTGAGACAACCGTTGAATGTGTAATGATAGATACCTGTGAATAATTTCTGTAGGTATGAAAGAAGGTTTCTATCATTGCACGCTCAATGGTCGTCTTGCTTCGATGCAAAGATGTGGCTACCTTTCAAGATAGCGCAGGTAACAGTGAAGAAGACTATTTAGCACTTGACATTCTGATTTTTCAGACTTGTATTCAAAATGCTGTGTACATGATGTGCACTTACAGCAAAAACGATGCACCAAAGGAACAAAAAAATTGGCTTGATTTTCTTTGCTGTCTCTCTGTGAAAACAAGATTATATTATCATCACATCATTATCACC